GGTTCAAATCCCTGCTCCATCATTACTAGCTCTGGCCATGTGTACACTTAATCACTTAATCTATCTATGTTTCAGTTCCCCACTACGTAAAAAAAGGGATAGTAATACCACCTACCTCATAAGACTATTATGAGGACTGAATCAATATATCTAAATCACTTAGAATAGTACCTACAATAGAGTTAGTCCTATAGATGTGTGCTCATGTTATTGTTACTAAGTGTCATGAGAGTAGGGACTTTTTTCACTCTTATATCCCCCAAACCTAGACTAGGACTTGGCACATAGAGGGACTCAATAAATTATACTTTGCAATGTAACAGATACTTCAGTCTTATAAAAATAATAAGAACCCCTACTGTATACCACATATAAAAATTAGCTCAAAATGGATCAAAGACCTAAATGTAAGAGCTAAAACTATAAAACTCATAGAAGGCAACATGGGTGTAAATCTTTGTTGCCTTGGATTAAGCAATGGTTTCTTAAATATGATGCCAAAAGCACAAGCAATAAAAGAAAAAATAAATAAATTCAACTTCATCAAAATTAAAAATTGTGTAGCAAAGGACACTGCCAAGAAAGTGAAAAGACAACCTATACAATGAGAGAAAGTATTTGCAAATCATGTATCTGATAAGCGTCCAGTATCCAGAATACATAAAGAGATCTTACAACTCAAGAACAAAAAGATGAACAACCTAATTTTTAAAAATGGGCAAAGGAATTCAATCGGCATTGCTCCAGAGAGGATCTACAAATGGCCAACAAGCACGTGGGAAGATGCTCAACATCATTAGTCATTAGGGAAATGCACTGTGAGATTACTTCACACCCACTAAGGTGGCGCAAATGGTTTGTGCTCATCTGCTAACCTAAAGGTTGGCAGTTCGAACCCACCCACCAGTACCACAGAAGAAAAGGCCTTGGAATCTGCTTTCATTAAACTTATAGCCAAGAAAGCCCTATGGAGCAGTTCTACTGTGTAACATATAGGGTCACCATGAGTTGAAATTGACTCAACAGCAACTGACAACATCAACAAGGAAGCTATAAAAACAAATAGTGAACGTTGGTGAGCATGTGGAGAAATTGAAACCCTGTTATGAGTCGAAATCAACTCAACAGCAATGGGTTTGATTTTTTTCCTGCCATTACTGGTAGGAATGTAAAAATGGTATAGCCACTATGGAAAACAGTCTAGCAGTTCCTCAGAAAGTTTCTATAGTGTTAACATACATCAAAAACAAAACAAACCAGTTTCTGTCAATTTGATTCTGACTCATGGTGACCCCCGTGTATGTCAGAATAGAACTGTATTCCATAGGGTTTTCAGTCGATTTTTCAAAAGTAGATCACCAGCCTTTCTTCTGAGGTGCACCTAGGTGGACTTGAACCACCAACATTTCACTTACCAGCCAGGTGCTTAACGGTTTGTGTCACCCAGGGACTCCATAGAATTACTGTGATACAGTAATTCCACTCCTAGGTATATACTCAAGAGAATTGAAAACATGTTCACACAAAAACTTACATACAATGTTCATAGCAGCATTATACCATATTACATATGATATAATATCTATTATATATTTTGGCCATCATATATTTTGGCTGTATCATAATAGCTAAAAAAGTGGAAACAACCCAAATGTCTATCATCTGATGAATAGATAAACAAAATATGACATATCCATACAATGGAATATTATGCAGCCATAAAAAGAAATAAAGTACTGATACATACTATAACATGGATGAACTTTGAAAGCATTATGCTAAATGAAAGAAGCCAGTCACGAAAGTCCACAAATTATATGATTCTATTTATATGAAATGTTCAAAATACACAAATCAACAGAGAAAGAAGGTAGATTAGTGGCTACCAGGGACTATGAGGAAGGGGGAATGAGGAGTCACTGCTTAGTGGGCATGTGGTTTCTTTTTGGGTGTTGAAAATATTCTGGAATTAGATAGTAGTGGTGCAGTGGTTAAGCATTTGGTTGCTAACCAAAAGGTCGGCAGTTCGAATCCACCAGCTGCTCTTTGGAAACCCTGTGGGCCCGTTCTGCTTTGTCCTATAGGGTCGCTATGAGTCAGAATCAACTCGAAGGCAATGGGTTTATTTTTGGTTTGATGGTTTACATAACTCTGAATGTTCTAAAAACCACTAATGGTATAACTTAAAATGGTGAATTTTATGTAATATGAATTTTATCTCAATAAAAAAATATATAACAAAACATAATCATTAAATGGACATTAATTGTTAAAGTAAGGAGCCCTGGTTGCATAATGGTTAAGTTCTCGGCTACTAACTGAAAGCTTGGCAGTTCGAATCTACCAACCACTCCGCGTGAGAAAAGATCTGGTGATCTGCCACTAAAGATTACAACCTAAGAAACCCTATGGGGCAGTTCTACTCTGTCCTATAGGGTCACTTATGAGTCGGAATTGACTTGACAGCACACAACAACCACCACTGTTAAATTGTACTTTCTTTACATCTTTTGAAATTTTCATCTCTAACTTTAGGAAATGATTATTTGCTTTATCAGTACTAAAAATAGGACCATTATCATTTGCATCACATATAAAAAAAAATCTTTTAATGGTGAATTTCTACTATTGGAGTAGATACATATTCACTTAAAGAGGAAAATGCTTACCTATTTTTTATCTCATCTTATTTAGAAAGTCTTTAATATTTTATTTTATAAAAGGTCTCTAATATTTTAATTTAGAACTATTTCTTTAATACTAAACGTCTCAATGTAAGAAAATTTCTGTTGAAAATTGGCATATTTTAAATAATAGGACATGTTCTTGTTAGATGCTGTTGAATCAATTGCAACTCATAGCGATCCTGTGTACAACAGAATGAAATACTGCCTGGTTCTTTGCCATCTTCATAATCACTGTTATGCTTGAGCCCACTGTTGGAGCCACTGTGTCAGTCCATCTCGTTGAGGGTCTTCAACTTTTTTGCTGACCTTCTGGTTTACCAAGCATGATGTCCTTCTCTAGGGACTGGTCCCTCATGATAACACGTCCAAAGTATGGGAGACATAGTCTTGCCATCCTTTCTTCTAAGGAACATTTTGGCTATACTTCTTCCAAGACAGACTTGGTCGTTCTTCTGGCAGTCCAGGTGTATTCAGTATTCTTTGCTAACACCATAATTCAAAGACATCAATTCTTCTTCGATCTTCCTTATTCATTGTCCAGCTTTCCCATGCATTTGAGGTGATTGAAAACACCATGTCTTGCACATCAGGCATACCTTAGTCCTTAAAGACATCTTTGCTTTTTAACATTTTAAAAAGGGCTTTTGCAGCAGATTTGCCCAATGCAATGCATTATTTGATTTCTTGACTGCTGCGTCAATAGGTATTGATTGTGGATCCAAGTAAAATTTGAAATCCTTGACAACTTCAGTAGGAGATAGTTTGTTATAAATTTAAAATATATACATTCCATGTCTATTGTAAAAATTAATTTTTTTAATATTCTTGTTGCATTTATTGTTGAGGTGCTACTTGCCATAACTATTAGTAGATGTCCCTGAGATTGAAAAAAAGTTAATCCAAATATTTTACATTAAATATTGCCTAATATTGACAATACAAAATGTGTTAAGACAATTAATTTGACCAACTTTTGGTAATCTAACATTTACTGAAAGCTTAAAATGTGGCACACGCCATTCTCTCCATTTTACATTTTAATTCATTTATTCCTTTCTGTAACCCAGTGAAGTGTGTACTATTATCTCCATTTTTCAGATGATAAAATAGAGACATAGAGAGATCAAGGTAACACAGATAAACAGTTACTAGTGCAAAGTCGAGATCTGAAACCAGACAATCTGGTTGTGGAATTCAAGCCTGTAACACCGTGCTATATCACACTCTGCGGACTCACAAATATTTATTTGCATTGGAAGAAGAAGTTACTTATGTGTCATAAGATACTAATGCTTCGCTAGGGATGATGGATCCAGAACTTAAATGATATAATTAGTTCCTACTAATACTGACATAAATTATAGTATGAATTCCCTTTGAGGTCTTTTAGGAGGTAACTACAATTTATGATAGTTAATGTATTTTCCAATACATTTCCAATGCAAGTTGACATGACTCTAAGCATAAGTAAATTTTATCTTGAAAAGTAAAAGTTGCAAGTTAGACTAATTTATAACATAGGATAAGATTACATTACATTTACAAATCCAGTGTCCCATATTATCTTTATGATTCTGGCTAATCAAAGTTAAAACAAAATTATTGCATGCGCTTTGCTTCTCCAAGAAATTTATGTACTTTTTTTGTGCATTATTTCTAAAGTACCCCTTCAGAAAAATGTTTTTATGTTTTTTTTACTCTGTGGATAAGCCTTCCAAAAAAGAAAAAGTAAGATTAGAATTCAGTGTCTCTTCATTTAATCAGAGATTTGAAATTCTATTTTCATTGTTAAAGAAGAGACATTAGCTTGCAGGTGCAAACTAACATTTGATACGGGCAAAATAAATGTCTTTATTCTTAGTTGTTACTTCACCCATTATTTCGGTGAATGAGTTTTTTGAATTCTAGAATTACAAACCAGTAAACAGATTGTGCACATGCTTTATTTTTACCTTGTGGCAAACATAACAATAATTACATGTAATACGTAAATGCTAATTCCAGACCGTGCCTTAAGTGTATAAGTAAAAAACAAAATGAAAATAGCTTCTCATTGGAATAACAGTTGATTTTTGTGAAGATAGAGTAGAAATTTGAATATTTTCTTTAAATTCTTATTCAGTACTAACTCCATATTAAATAATAAACCCTTTTATATTAGAAATGTTATGTCGTAACTTTGTTTCCATCAGTTTTTAAGGCATCAGTTTTTAATAAATTGGAAAGTTCTAATATTGCTAACGTTATGATTTAAGAAAATTGTCAAATTTTTTTACCATAGATACTCAATAATGTTTCATTCTTTTTTCTCAGGAACTTCCTGCACCATTTCTTGATGATAATTGTAAAAAAGAATTTGATGAGGACACATGTAATCATAAAACACCAGAACCTAATATTGAGATGAAAATAGCTTGGCGTTACCAGTTATTACCCAAGATGGAGGCAAGTCAACATAGAAACTATTTCTAAAATTTGCAAATGTATTTTTTTTTTTTTCATTTCATCAGATCTCTTGTGGCATACCTGTTATATAAAATATATATTGTTTATTTAGACAATAGATGAGTGGTAACTTTGGTGAAGGGTAAGACAGTACACAATACTGGGGAAGCCAGAACAACTTGTACAAGGCAAGATCATGGAAGCTCCATAGACACATCCAAATTCCCTGAGGGACCGAGTTGCTGGGCGGAGGGCTGTGGGGACCATGGTCTCAGGGAACATCTAGCTCAGTTGGCATAACGCAGTTTATAAAGAAAATGTTCTACATTCTACCTTGGTGAGTAGCGTCTGGGGTCTTAAAAGCCTGTGAGCAGCCATCTAAGATACTCCACTGGTCTCACCC